ATTTTCATATCAAATATATTTCGGTGATATATAAGCGGTTGCATCTGCTCATGAACCTATTATGTTGTCATTAGAAATGACTGACTTAATCCTGTTTTAACGGGACATTTGTATAACACAGCGCACGACGGTCGCAGATGGGGAAGTTTTGGTGCTAATTATTACTTTTTTGAAATGAACCAGACTTCGGCGTTTCGTTCCAGCGCCTGGGTGGTGCAGCACCAAGGGGCATCTTGCCCTCTCTTCGCAGTCTTCATATGGTACCTCACTCAGCAGAGATACCGCACAACCAGCCGTCCCGTGTGGGTGACACCGAATGATTTACGCCTTAATTTTTCACTCCGTGGGTCCGTCATTCTGAGCTCGGGATACTGTACATATACTTGCGCGGTATCTTTTTTTAGTTTTCCCTATTGAATGGCCCGGCTCTAAATGACAGATCCTACTGTGCAATAACATATTTTTTTGCACGTTTCACCAAAAGCTTATAGTATTGGTTTCATATTTTTCAATGTGACGTGAACTATTGCCAGACTTTGAAAAATAAAAATAAAATGAAAACAAAATGCAAGTTGATTATGCAAAAACTTTGTTGTTATGCAAGTATTTTGTTAGACGCTGAATACTGCGGACACTCATAACTTTGCTTTGTAACAGGCAATGCATTGACATTTATATTTTTGATGTGTCAAAAAAGAAAACTTCAAATGGTAGGGCGATATGTCATATGGCCCTATTACACAAAATACATTTTGTTCCAGGGCTGTCGAAGTCCTTCGTGTTTTTCTTATCACATTGAGCTTGTTAAAACTGCTTTCTTGGAGTCATTCAAAGGTTGTAAATATATAATTACCAACAGAGATAATATTGGGGGAAAAATATGCTTACATAGTACTGATTCATTTGGGGTTCATAAAAGACGGTATTTGATGTCAGACATTTAGGTGTTAATAGGCTAACAGGGTGCAGCTGCCCAGCTGTGGATTATATTTATACATATTAAACACGCAAGTTGTGCTTGTTGGTGCCACAGGCTAACAGGGCCCACGGCTGAAAGCAGGGCTGGGTATTTGTGCACCAAATGAGTCAGGGGGGTTTTGGGAAAGGACTACACACATTTTCTCTTTTAAAATCTTAATTATATATCAGCTATATCAACCTCTGCTCTGAATTTAAAAGCCCCTTGGCATAAATGCCACCTGCACCAACCTGTCATTGAATGGTAAATATGTATATACAGTATGTCTTTAAAGAAATGTATGCATGCTAACTTCTGTACCTGGCCATTCGGTCTGTGTGTATTGTAGATCACATTTTCTCTCTGAAAGGCTGTATTTTTATTTTTTGATTCAATTTCCATATTGATGCTAAATCGCTTATGATTCACTTATTTTCTGGATATGAGGGAATCTGCACTTGCATCTTGCAGCTCTCAGGGATACATTATTATAATTTCTTTGTATTTGGATTGAGCGTCACGTTCTGCACTTCTAGAAGCAGGTGGCACAACAGAGTGTTATTACTGAACCCTTTCTTATTTATAGGTGACACCTATCTGCGCTATAAACAGATGACTGAGGTATCTTTTGAAGCAAAAGCAAGCATTTCTTTCGCAGAACAAATAACTGACCCGGTTCACAACAGCGAACATGAGCGGCACAACATAGCTATCATCACTGCGGTACCACAGATATCTCTGTTACATAGGAAAGGTCCAATGTGCTTATCGGATTGTTTCTGTATCAACAGATAAAGTTGCATGTTCTAACCACATACTGACTCAGAAATCATGATGGATTCCTTATTTTGAACGAATGAATGACAACTCAGTGTCAGCCACTGGGTGAGAAACTTGCCATTTGTGGAAGGTTATGAACTTCCTGAGGGGGCGCTGTTGTTCATCACCTGCTCACTAGACGTACACAGTTTGTATGTAGTAGGCTTGTAGTCAAGACCGCCTAAACCAGGGGTGGGCAATCTTATCTGCAAAGGGCCGGTGTGTATGCAGGTTTTCGCTGCAGCTCCCTAATTATATTACTAATTAGAGGACTGACTGGCTGATGAGTCCTCACACCTGGGTTTGAGCAGCTGACCTAAAGGTTACCCCAAAGACCTGCATACACACCGGCCCTTTGCGGATAAGATTGCCCACCCCTGGCCTAAACCAAGACCAAGACACTACCAAGACCAGAGGGTATCGAGACCAAGGCTAAGACCAAGACAGACCGAGTCAAGACCAAGACAAAGTCGAGACAAGACCAAGACCGAAACCGAGACAGAGACCGGAAAAAAAAGACTCCCTTAACTTTTGTGTGCTGTTGAGGACTGACATGACGGGTGCTGACTGGTCCCAAAGTCATCTGACAAAACAGCTAACACCTCCAACAACTGTCTAAAGAATGAGAAATATGTAACTGGTTTCAATTATACTTAATTTGTAGAAGAAATTGTAACATCAAATTGAAGATACACAATTATAAACTTGAAATTGCATCATGTCCCATTGTAGTAGTACTAGCCAAATGACACTGTATGATATCAAGTTCCCTGAAATGGATTAGGCCTGTTAAGTCAACACAACGTGATATGCAGATGCTATTTAAAAGTCAATGGTCACATTTATTTAGTCAACACCATTTTAAGTAAAATACTGTAATCAAACAATATAAAGACATGTGCACATGTCATATGAATCAAATGCAAACTACAAATACTATATACCAATACAAACTGCACATCAAATTGTGCATTAATAAGAATAAGGACAAGTGCTTAAAAGATTCTGACATCTTGATGTCTGCAGTGGCATGTGATTACAACACACTGCCAAGGATATCAAGCCTGTTGTTCAGTAGGGCAAGAACAATAGAACACAGACATTATGGACAAATAACAGATTGATAAACTAATACAGTTAGATGAAATACTTAAAAAGAGAGAGAGAGAGAGAGAGAGAGAGAGAGAGAGAAAGCATCACTGTTAATAGGCATATTTTCAGAGAGGAGGGAGAGAGAGAAAATAGTTCACATTTTAAAATAGTGGTTGATTGCACTTCAGGAAAACTAAAGATTGCAACATCTTATAGCCTGTGATGCTGGATCTAACGTTTAACTAGCGCTACACTTATTTTGCGCATATAACGCGTATTTTGATTGGATGTGCGCCAATGTCTGAATCACAACAAAATGCATGCATATCATTGATTGGTTGCATTTGAAGGGCACGAAAGGCGAAATAATAATAATGTTGCATTATCGAACATTACGTTGTGTGTCATGGAAACTTTTCGCTCCAAATCTCCCGACCACTATGTTGATCTGAGACAGCAAGACCAAGACAGCGAGACAAAGACAAAACCGAGGGATTCGAGACCAAGACAAGACCAAGACTAAAGACTGTCGAGACTGTGACCAGACCAAGACCACGTAAAAGTGGTCTCGAGACCAAGACTGGTCTCGAGACATCCAACTCTAGTATGTAGTACCTGGTAGCATAAAAACCTGAAATACCTGTCATCAAGTCACACTTAAGAATATTTTCTATATTCAGTTTAAACTACATTTTGTGTAGTTCATATTAGAGATTTTGCATTAGAAAAATTGATTTACACAATTTTACCTTTTAACAGCATAAAACATTTTACAATGTTTTTTAAATTAGTTCACTGAGTGCAGTATATCTCATTAATTCAGGAATGCATTCTCTATATATGGAATGTCTGTCAATGAATGACATATTGCCAGAAATAAAGGATATTTATTGAATATTGATCAAGAGCATAGATTTGGTTTCAATACTGGTAGGGAGCAAATCGACCCTGAAACTACCCCCCCAACACACACACACACCTAAACACACACACGGTTCTCCCTCGGCATTGATGGGGACATGTCCCTACCATCCATACCCAAATCTACAGCCTCGATATTGACCAATGACAGCCACAACAGAGAAACAACAGAGATTTCAGCATTTGTAAGAAAGAATGACACTGAAGACATCGTCTGGCTGTAGCTTGGTGAGGGCAGCCCAGTCATGCAGGATTCTCAGCTGATTTGGCTAGTAAAGTACAGCCCTACCCAAGGGGTGGTCTCTGAATCAGGCCCAGTCTTGGCAAGACCCAAGCACTGAGATTGAAAACATACGTGTTTGGAGTTTGTTCTATGAGTTACTACTGTGCGACTGTGATTTACAAGAGTGTGTGAGATATAGAAATCTCTCACGCAACTCCAGATATGCTATGAGTAAAAGCACATTGTGAAATCCACCCACTTCATTCTACTCAGGTTGAACATTCTGTTTACACATTTTCCTAAGCTTCCATTTCATCATCTTCCTTTTCTGCAGAGAAATGCTTCCCCTTTTTTTAATATCAAATATGCTCTGCAACAATAGTGACAGATTTCCTGCATTTCTTGCTTTTCATTTTGTAGAGTGAAAGCTGCACCTATCCTGCGCCTTCTACTTCGTGGGATGGACCCCAGTCTCACCAGCACCTTGCAGAGAATAAGCAGTTATGGAAGATTGATGAGTAGATGGTAGATAAGTTTCTGTTAAAAGGATGTTATCAGCTTAAAATAATTGGGAAAAGGTGGAAAAGTTTAGGCATAATCAGTGTTTTGTAATGCTTGTTTTCTTCTTAAGTACATTTTGATAGCCAGTCTGATAGCCATTTTGATTCTCCAGTTATAAACTGGAAATACTTGCAACGTAACTGATTACAACAACAGTTTCAGTTGCGCAGGGCCCTGCTCCTCCCTTGCATATATATCAGCAAACCCCCCCCCCCCCCGGCCCCCCGGCCCTAGACTGTCCCTTCAATGCAGCTGCCTGCCACCTGCTCTCTACATTATTCTTTTTCGCTGTGAAGTTTACACTCACGCTGGTGATCTTGTTCAGGCCGGCAACATGTAAATGGATCAAGTGGTTAAAACTCTGCATTTGACTGCTGCTGAGTCCCTCCCTCCTCGCCCCTCTAACAGTCCAAACATCCTCTCATATGGCATTTCATCTTACTTATATACTCTAGCAGTATATAAATTTCCCGTTACGGATATTTGCTGGTCAGGTGTGCTTTGGGGTCTCTGCAGCCAGATACACATCACCAGACATTATGAAGAAGCCCACATCACAGGACCTTTCAATCACTGCTGAGATTCGGTTAAACATCCTGAACATTGTGGGGCCACACATCACTACCGTATCATTAAAATCCGCCAGATAAAATGCTTGTCATCTCCTCAAGGGAAGCCTCAAAATTCTGCATCTTCACGGCAGTTTCACAAGGAACAAGGAAAAGTCAATCCTTCCTTCCCTTTGAGACCCCTCACATAGGTAGTTCATGGATAGATTAAATTATTGGATTAAAAATTCATGCAATTCAAAACCTGGAAGTAGCCACTCACCAGAGGAAAGTCCCTAAGCTCATCTGCTTATTACCTGTCATAGGGTTGCCACCCACCCAGGATTTCCCAGGATCACCTCGGATCCTGGTCATCTGTCCTTGAAGAAAGGATTTCATTCTGTGACAGGGAATACCCCTATCAATTCTGCTATCAAGCAGACCTAAACAACCTTTGGAATGGTTTCACTATGTGCAAAAATTTTGGTCAATGACTGAGTGTCCAGAAATTTTTCCGGACTGAGGTGACAACCCCAGTGTGTCACTTGCCAGCCTTGTTTCCCATCTGCCCCAGTCTGCACCGGCAGCCCTTTAGAAACTTCGTACCACTGGGGTACCTGTCTGGGCCCAGACGTCAGACCTGATGCACATCCACCCAGTCTATTGCCAAAACAGCTCCAGCTGGCCTCTTCCCTACTATTACCAAACATCAACGACTGTGACTGCTGGGCTGGGTAAGAGCAGGCCTTTGGAGGATACGCAGGTCCATATATTAATTCATCCTGACGGCCTCGTCCACTGAGTGGGAATGATCCATCATGCCAGACACTTTTAAGAAATTCCATGAAAAACAGAGAAATGGTGAAAGCAATTACATTATATGAGTCATACTTATATTTGTAAACAAAAAGAACAAAACAGATGATGAGACTATGAAATCACGCAAACATTTAGATACCATAATGATTTGGTTTTCAAACTATCCCAAAAAGGTTATTTAAAAGCTTGTCTCTTGCTCTGATAAATTGTCATCCTATTTCCATGGAGGTGTGGACCATAATCTTCATTTTACTTCTTTTGACAAATTATCTATTGAATCAGTTATTTAGACAAAATGAACTGCTTTGATATTCGTGGCAGACTCAACTGTGTTCGTAAATTTTATTATAAAAAAGAAAAGAAAAAAAAACTTTGTTTTCAAATATTATGTCCGCGATAAAAACAACTAATTCCGTCGGTCAGATGTTGCCACGGTCTTGACGCCGATACTTAAGCAACTGGCTCATGTACTTCTCTGGCTTTCGTTAAGAACGTCTCTAAGAAATATTTCATCAGGTGGTTTGGACTGACTTTACAAACTTGATACGTCTCGCCAAAGTAAAGGTGCGTAAAGCATGGAAGTGTCGCTCCGGCGAAACGAGCATCTGACGTTGGGTCGGGCACTTGTGAAGGGACGTCTTTTTACGACCGTCAATCCATCGTTTCCTGTGAAGTAGGGAGTCATAAAAAGCGGAGGCGGGGGTGTCACACCGTTCCCCACTTTACCCTTTATTAGAGGTTACCGGGGAGCAGCTCGATCGCTTTAAGGTCTCCGGCCAGCGGGGAGCTGCAGCACCCCTTCCTACCGGAGCCGGGCCGACACGCGGACTGCACTTCGTCACAAGTAATTACCAAAAAGCTGGGATTTCCTTTTTTGCACTTGTACCGCCGTACAGCTTTAAGTAACAAAAAATCTTTGCTCATCGGAGAGACCGAGTGTTTTTATTTGAGGCTTATAAATTTGCATATTTGAGTGATGTTGAGGCATTACTTCAGGATTTACAGACGCATAATCGTGTATACAAAAGACGCTGTTGTTTACTTGAGTCCGGACAATCCTTTTCATCGTATGATATCTGCTGTCCGCCAGTAGAATGGCTGTAGTGAGGCGTTTGAATTATGCGCCCTGTTAGAAAGCAAGAGCAGCCCCCCCCCCGCCCATCCCCACGGCACCGCTCGGAGAGATTCACAGCCACGAGGCGTGTTTTGTCCCCTCTTCTGGTGAAATCACTGTGCGTCGTTTTTCCCAAGCTGACGTTTGGATAAAGTTGCACGGATCGATCTGAAACAGAAACCATATGTACCACTGGTCAGGAAATGTTATGGATGGATTTTCGGGGCAAACTGCAGTGCAATGACAAATTCTGCTTTCAAAACTTCCCAATCCCACATATTACTGTAAAAAAGTGTACATTATTTATATTACATGTGTTTATAATATTCGAACACATTATATAATTAGTTATATCATACCAGACATTAAATGGATGAGTTAATGAATGATGCTCTAGCGCGTGCACAGTTTAAATTTACTTATTTAAAGCAGTTTTTGAGAATACTGTTAGAAAGCTAAAGGTTGAATACAATGTTATTCAGAGCTATGAATCTTTGTTGGTATAAGCATTGTGATGCAATAACATTTGACAAATTTCTGACACGTTGAGGTTGGGTAAAGACAGCTTTGATCCTACAGTTCTTCGTGACCATGGTGTTCAACTATGGAAAAGCATTTGGTAAATTCTCCAGATTCATATTAGCAAGCTGGATATGGACCAGTGGTGAAAGATAGATAGGACAATCAACACAGCACGCTCGTAACAATGACCAATTTAAAGGTTCATTTACTTCACAATTAAAATGCCTTGGCCTGTTTCACTTTAATGTTTAAAGGGAAGAGTCTCATTTTTCCAGTGTACATGAATGTGTGTCATGCTGGAATCAAGGCACTGTGGTAGTAATGTGTGATTATGTTTTTCCCAGGGTAGCGCTGAGACCGCAGTCCTCACAATGCTTTGTGGCAAAACCCATTCAGTGGAGCTTGTGATACAGTATGTGTGACCCGATAGAAAAACGCAATAAAATGTTACAGAAAACAGCATTTTCTCCACTCTACAGCTACTAGAGGTCATTGATGGTAGTCAAATGGTCTGCCAGGTCAACAAGACAGATATATACCACAGCATAATTTTTTGTTTCACTCATTTCTCAATTTTTGGGTGTGTGTCTGAATATATATATGCGCAAACTGCAGCCTGGTTATTCTCTGTTTCTCATGAATGAAGGGTTTCTTCCTTGCTTTATGGGACCTCAGTCCTGCTTCTAGGAGCCTGATACACACTGTCCTAGCAGTGCACTTCACGCCACTTAATGTTTCCCATTCCATTTGAAGGTCACTTCATGTCATGCGACGATTCATGAGAAACTTTCAGATAAGTTAATTGTCAGATATATACAGCCGTGGAAACAAAATCAAGAGACCACTCTATATTTTTAAACAAATCCGCATTTCTAAATCCTGGTTTAATCGTGCTTCTGCTGAGCAGCTGGTTGCTACCAGGTTCAAAATTTCTAAGACAGCAGTTCACAAGAATAAGGTGAAGTAGGAGACACTGGGAACGACCAGAAACCAGCCAGGTAAAAGGAGAATGTGACTAATGCCAGAGATGATCATTAACTTATCTGACAGTTTCTCATGAATCGTGGGATGACATCAAGTAACCTTCGAAAGGAATGGGAAACATTAAGTGCAGCTGTGAAGTGCACTGCTAGGACAGTTTGTATCAGGCTCCTAGAAGCAGGTCTGAGGTCCCATAAAGCAAGGAAGAAGCCCTTCATCAATGAGAAACAGAGAAGAACCAGGCTGCAGTTTGCAGAAAAATATATATTGTTCACAGACGTACACCCATAAATTGAGAAATGAGTGAAACAAAAAAATTGTGCTGTGGTCTCTTAATTTTTTCCGCGGCTGTATATGACTGTTAGGGTCTGGAAAATGACCCTAACAGTCTGGAAAATGAGCTTGGAGCAGGGTAGTATGTGTGGTTTTGGGGCACCCAGCTCTGTTTGGGGCACCTTACATTCTTATGAGTTTATGAAATTAAAATTTGTACCAAAAAAGCATTTTAGATTCAAACTTCAGCTGTGACTGGGATTTATGTTCAGCTGGACGGTGTGGAAGTAAAATTGGACATTGGTAGGTCCGGGAGGGGAGGCATATTGGGTCTGTTACAGTATGTCTTAGGCCTTAGGCAAGAAGAGACTAGAAGTCCTTATTGGGAATTGGGAATTATGGTTTATCAACTAGTTGCTCTGTGTGCTGGGGTGATTTTGGTATCGAGTGCCAGAGTGTGATGGGAGCGCTTTGCTGGAATTAATGGAATAAAAGAGATTTTCTTTACTCGCCAAACAGAGAGCTCCAGACTTTTATTCTAAGTGACTCTCTCTGTTTTCAGAGAGGTCAATTTATAATTTTTCTACCACAACGGTAAGCAGCATGTGGCTGATATGAAACACCCAGATATGAGCTCGAGAAGAAAAGAAACTCAGCCAACTTTAAGTGCAGAAGGGGGATCTTCTGTGTTACCTCTAAGCAAGACACTTAAACATCTGAAGTAAGATGTTTTTGATAAAATTGACCTAGTAATTATGAAGCAACAAGTAATGTAACATGAAAATGTACATGGCTAATTACAGTTTGGGTTTTTTTAATTGAAGGATGATTTAAACATCTTATATGCATTACTAGAAGTTTACATAAGAAAACATACAATATATATTTTTAAAGATCCATCTCAGGGGCATCACTGGTTTGAACTGGTTATTAAATTATTCCAACATTTACTGACCATTACAGCATCCCCATTTGGCAAGTCTGTATTATTTCACAGTGTAACCCGTCTGCAATAACATCTTGATGTGTTGATTTAGAGGATGTGCGTAAAATAGGATTATGGCGTACACCTATTCCATCTGGATCATCACATCCTGTACCTAAAGAGAAACTGAGGAGTAATTCTTTCCATTTCCACCAAACCCAGATTTGCTCATCTGTCTTTTCAATAGGAAGTTACATGAAAAACTGGTTATTTTCACTCTTTGAAATGATTTGGGTGTAAATGGGATATACTCCTGTCAAGGAAATGTCTTTTCATTGTTTATTCACCGAGCAGATGAAAATTAATTCACAAGAAACTCACCTAAGAGCCCCGTGTACATGGAATAAATTAATTCTGCAGAGAGGCTTGGGATAGCCTAAACAACTGGGGATACATTTTACATCTCTTTCAAATTCTGCTCAAATAAATCCTCTTAAGCGGATGCAATCTAATGTTCCCACCATTTGGGATGTGACGTAATGTGGCAGACAGACAGTTCAGTGTCAGATGAGGTGCACCCCATGTCTTTTAAAGTAAATAAATCACTATATAAAACTGCTGCTACAAAAAGTTATAAACACACTGACAGAGGACTACCAGAAAGAGATGTGGCAGGTTTCGGCACTGTAGTAAGAAAAATCTGATCATTCTCTGCAGATTTTCAAAGTAGACATGCCTGCTTTGCTGGAGAGTCACATTCAATCCATCTTTTCAAGATAAAATGTGGTGCATTTTAAAACTTGAATATGGTGGTGCTTTAAACAAAACATTACAGTCTAGATTTTAACTTATACGATACTCCTTGCACATACAAATATAATTATGGGAGGAAAAAATCTATACAAAAATACCAGTCCACATGCCATTATAGAAATCACAAACAGGTAGAAGTGATATTGATGTGGTGTAAGTAGACCTCAGTGGGATACCAGAGTGGTGTGGAGTCTAGTGGTGCTAGTTCATGCTAGACAGGGTCTTTCTATGCCAGCTTCATAATTTAATCCTTTGCAGTTGAATGTACATCTTCCTTGTTCTGCATTCAACATGATCTGCATGTAAGTTCAAGCCCTGCCATTCAGAGGCTACCTTGATTTCAAAGCAGCACTGTGTTGTGGAAAAGTACAGTGTTCCTTTAAATTGTTTTCATAGCGTGTTAGTCAAATACTCTACAGGCTAGCAAAATAACAAGCTCTAAAACAGTCGCAGTGCCGGCCTCCCTTAAGCCTTCATCTGGAAGCATTTCGGCCTGCAGAGGAAGATGACGGTCACATTAACGATAATAGTTACGAGGAAGACACAAAAACAATGAGTTTGCTCTGAGTGGTTCACTATCAGGTCATTTTTAAAATAAGTCTGCAGGAAGTATTTAAGCGTTAAAAGAAAACAAACGTGGAATGACAAACCCAATTCTACAAGTTATTGCCTAATTTAGTTAATTATCATTTATCCCTTTGGTATAATATCCCCTGGTAATTGGTGATATTTTATCCCCGTATTTCATCATTTATGGAGGAGGTGACCAGCTGGTGGTCAAAAACTACAGCCCCTTACTGGCATCATTAAGAATCTGAGCACGCAAATACAGTACTTGATGTCTGCTTCTATTCTACACATTGATAACAGCTTTTAGACTGACAGAAACATTCCTGTGTACCAGACACTGTGCTGAGAAGTATTTGGTGGATCTGCAGTTATACAGCCCTAAATAGCATCTGGCACCAACTCTTATACGAAACAGTCTGAAATCCTTGATCTGGGCGAATGTGTTGAAATTACTATAACTCAGAGACAAACCAAAGAAAAGAAAATGTGTTTAATTAATGCTTTTGGATCTATTAATTATGGGGGGGAAAAAAGATTTTTTTAAAAAACAAAAGAATGTTTTAAATGAAATTAAAAGTTGCATAACACAATACAAACTTTTAAAAAGCCTTGTAGCGTATTCATTTGTGGAAACATCAAAGACCCTGGATGATAAATGAACAAATTACTAAGACAAGCAAACATCTACAGATGTGACGTCAGGGTAATAAAGAACAGAACGCTGTTTATTTTCTACTCCATGGTAATCGTCATATTCTTGTATAAAAAACAAAACACCTGAAACAGGTCCTTTAGGCCATTTTCCTTGTTCGTTTACTTGCACTTGAGCTCTTAATTTCTAAAATTTGAACTTGACCTTTTTATTGCTTTTACTGGAAAGACTCATAAAACCTGATTGGTCACAATCTAAAAATGTAACCCAAAATGTTTGTAGAGGATGTGCAGTTACCACACTCTGTTTCTTTGTTGGGTTTCAGCATTTGTGAGATCAGTCATCCAGAATTCCGGTATGTTGAGTAGCTGACAAACCAGCTTCACATTGATAATGACATTAAAATGCCTTTGTGTAGTAACAGAAAGTGTC